GGCGACCACGACATGGCGCAGGCCCCTCACACCGCCATGGCCATCGCCCGCCCGGTACGGCCGCTCGCGCCCTCGCCTAGCGCGGGCCCCCATTGGCTGCCGCTGAGCGCCCGCCGCGCCCACTTCCCGCTCCTCGCTCTCCCATTGGCGGAGAGCTGCCAGCGGGAGGGCGGAGCGACGCGGCGGAGAGAGGGGTGCTCACCGCTGATTGGCTGGCCGCGCGGCGAGCGCTGCCATCCCATTGGCGGGAGGCAGTGACGAAGGGCGGGCGGAGCCAGCGCGCACCGATTGGGCGCCGCCACCGATTTAAAATTTAATGCGCGCGTGGCGGTGACGTCATTGGATGTGCGGTGTGACGTCACCGGGGCGGCGGTGGCAGTGCTGGCCGGGCGGGATCCCGGGCCCGAGCCGCGACCCCGGCCCGGTCCTGCCCACCCGGCACCCGGGCAGGCTCCTCCAGTGCCGCTAGAGGTCCGCGCCTGCCCGCCCAGCGGCACCTCCCCATCCCCTCTACCGCCCGCGGGCAGGAGGGACAGGGACAGCGGCAGACAGAACCTGCCCGGAGGGTCCTGCCGACACGGCATCCTCCTCCCCCAGCCTCCCTGGAGAACAGCAGGGACAGCCCCGGGCCTGTATGGGTTAAATTCAGATTCAAATTCAGATTACATATTACAAAAAAAGAAAAAAATACTGTTGGAGTGGTCAAGCATTGAAATAGGTTGGGCAGGGAAATGGTGAAGTCGCCATCCCTGGAGGTGTCCAAGAGGCATCTGGATCTGGCACTGGGTGATGTGGTTTAGGGGGTTACAGTGATAATGATCTGTTGATGGCCAGATTTGATTGTAAAGATCCCTTCCAAACTTGACGATTCCATGAAAAGGTGTAGGGTCAGGGCACCTGGACAGGGGCTGACGCTTGTGGAAGACCCTGGGTTGTCATCAGCTGCCTTGTCCCTCCCTGCAGAGCTTGAAGGTCATCTTACCCCATGGTGTCAGTGGTCAAGGTGTGATCACAGCAGGTAAAGGCAGAGGAATCCCCACAGAGCAGAGCCGCCCAGGTGTCTGCTCCACCCTCACCTCCAGAGCTTGAATGCCCCAGCCCAAACCAGTGTCACCAGATGTATTTATAGAGCAACAAAGACAAGCAGGCACTAAATGGCCCATTCGGCTCTGCTGGTGACTGTGAACACAAGTGGATTTAATGGGCTGGAACCAGGAGCTGATCCACTTGGGTGGGTGGGAATAACCTGCCACCAAGAGCAAGAGAAGGACAACGGGTCTCCCTGGAAAAGTGCAGAGGGCACCCTGCAGCCTTGGGGCTGTGAGCTCCCTCCTCCTGGCCGGGGACTGACATCTCTTGCTGCTTGACATCTCTCTGCTGTCTGAGCCCTGAAGAAGAGCCAGCCACACCATGTCACTGCCATTGTCCAGCCACTGGCATCTGTCCCAGCAGTCCGCTGAGGACACTTAGCAGAGTGTGACCAAAACCTGCCTTATCACAGTCCACCTGGGACCCGAAACAAACCCAGGGCAAAGGGGAGTTTCCCAGCAAAGTCTGACAGCTTCCAACATGGGAACTGCTGCTAGCTACCCAAACTCCTTCTCCTTTCCTGCCCACTAGAGTGTATTTGCTCTGGAAGCCTATCCAGCTCTTGGGAAAGCCAGAAGAGGTGTTGGCTGAGTCCAGGTGACGGTGTGTTCCCAGTGTGACAGCCAGAGTTGCTCACACGCTTCTGCTTGTGCTGTCCTGTGTTTGTGCTGCTTTCACAGACGTTTGTCCTCTCTGCCTGCTCCACAAGGACACCGACTTCCCTCTCAAACAGTCCTTGGGTTCTTTCTGGACAATCATTTACTTGCTGATAAATGCTGTTTCTTGGGAGGAAGGAGAGGGCACAAGAAAAATAATTTGTGAATTTGGCTCATGTGTGGTTGTCTCTTTGATCCAGATAAGATTTTTTTCTTTAACTTAAAAAACTATCGCTTCATTTTCTCCTGTTTCCAACATTTATCTCCAAAGGATACTTTAATAGTGGGAGCTGAAAAAAAGGATGAGAGAGCCCAAACCTAAATGAACTGTTTGATCTCCCCTCATGCCACCACTCTGTCCTGCCCCAGTGGAAAGTTTGTTTGCCTTTCTACTGAACCAGCTTGAAAAAAAGTTTTGGTATTGACTCAGATGCTTTGCTTTCAGGTCACTCCTCAAAGACCTGCACAAGCAACAAGTCATCTTTGATACTGGGCAATGCCCAGAGTCTCACTTGTTCTGTATCAAGGCTTCCAAGACTCCCCAAATCCTCATTCTCCAGTGCCTTCTCCACCCCAGGTGCCCAAAGACTACTGGTTGTGGCTGCTTTGACCAAGATTCTGGGGAGCACCCATTCCCTCCCATCAGGGTGAAGCTGCCCCAAGGCCTCCAGGCAAGAGGGAAGGAATTCTGAAGAAATCTAAATGCTTTAGATTTTGTCTCTACATCTTCAAATATTTTTAGTGCTCATAAAAGTGAGAAACTGGGAGAGACCCAGCTGGGACCAGTACTGTACAACCCTCACCTAAGGTAACTAAGATCGGGGTTAGATCTGGGTTAGATCTAGACACTGCTAGACCTGGTCCCACATCTCTTAAGCAGAAAGGCAAACATCCTTTCTCCCTCAGCATCATTCCAGTGACTTTCTGGAGAAACCTTGCGCCTCTTACAGGTGCTGGACATGATGGGCAAAATTCTGTGGTGGAGGAAGTTCACACTAGCCTGAAGTTCCCAACAGGACATTGAAGCACCTTTGTGACTGAGGCATGGTGAAACCTGGCCTGCATGTCCTGCCACACAGCTGGGTACCTTGAAGGGTGGATGCAATGGTGGTCTAACCCATGACAGGAAGTGCTCTGCCAGCACTGCTGCACACACATGTGCTGGCACAGCCCCATCAGCCTTCCCAGTGTTATCCTGGCCCTGAAAAGGAGCCTGGAGAGAAGCTGGTCCTTTAATGGGCTCTCACAGCATGGACAGCCAGTGGAGCATGCCAGCCCTGATGTGATGCAGTGACAAAGTGCTGATCTGCAGGTTGATAAGGAGGGGCAGCGCCAGGCAGTGCAGCAAGGTGAGACTATCAGGCAGCAGAAAAGCCATTAGCCTTTGTTCCTGGCCTCCACACATGAGGAGAGGGGCTGGGGACAGCAGGTGGGGTCTGCACAAGGGCTTTCCAATCTGCTTTTCTGGAGACTGCCATTTCAGTGATGCCATAGATTAGAAAAGCTCTGCAGTTACTCTTTTGCTAGAATAATCATAGAGTGTAGCCGCTGGTGGCTACAGTACCTAAGCAAGTTCCCTTTTGTTTCAAAATGCTCCTCTGTGCTGCCCTTTTCGAGGTGTCTAAGGGCTGCTCTAGGGTAGGGCAGAATACTGGTCTTATCACGTAGCTGGCACAGAAACATGCAACTGTCAACAGTGTTCCAGCAATTAGAGATCAAGTATTGTTTGGGGATTTCAGCTTCTTTCTAGTTGGAGATCTTTTGTATCCTGGTGTGTGTGGCTGAGAAGGCCCTGCAGAACCCCTGTGTAATGGGAGACCCAAAAACACACCCTGAGCAGCATTGCTGGAGGGGGAGCTCGTCTTTCAGACAACAGCAACATCCCCCTGCTTTAGGTGTCCCCAGAAAGTGACCCCAGTCACGTGGAGCTCTGCTCATGCAGGGTAGGGGCTAAGGCAGATGGGCTTCTCTCTTCTTCCCAATGCTGTCTCTATCCTGCTGCCTGCACGGGGTTCAAATGAGGTTGGAGAATGATTTTGTGTGGCCGTCAGTCTCTTCAAGACCATCCACAGTATTTTTCTGCCATCTGTCATTTTGAGAAGAAAGCACACAAGAAAAAATAATAAACTCAAATTATTGCCTAATCAACACCAAAATCAGTGCTGCTTGCTCAGCCTGCGGGCCACAATTAGATGCCATCAGCAAATTTGGGCAGCTTGCCTGGGCTGCAGTCTTTCATCTCTTGAAGACTGACAGGCAACCCAGGGATCTGCAGGCAGAGGAAGGAGCTGGGATCCATCTGAAGGACTTACCTGGCTCTTTGGGGAAAGAGAACATAATTCAAACCAGTAGGAAAAATGTAGTTTTGTGTTTATGTTTGTTAATTAAAGGAAAACCATACCAGAGGAGGGGATGTTTAGGCCTCCAGCACCATCTCACAGTATTGCCCTGGTTATGCAGCCCCAGCTCAGTTTGCCTTGCCAGGAGGATGCTCTGGGTAGATCACTTTGGGAAATTGTGGAACATGTGTCACTTGAACATCCTTACAGCCTTGGCGGGGCCTTCACGTGTCTGTGCACTCATGCAGAATCTTGGTACCTGGTTTGAAGCGCACACCTTCCTCTTCCTCCTGTTCTGCACCTCAGCTGCTTTTCCAAAAGCCAAGAGCTGGAGCGAAGGGCACCCTGCCTTCACCCACAGTGCCAGCTGGGGAAGGGCAACCTCAGAGCTGGGGAGGGAGGCGAGGGGAGCACCCAGAGCCAGGAGGGAGGGGACAGCGGGATCGGGGTGCTCCTGCCAGGGGCAGGGAAGGGGTGTGGGACTGGGCAGAGCAGGGGGCTGGACACTCTGGCTCCACTCCCCAGTCACACTGGCCTCCACATCTGCTCGTCCCCGTGGAGGCAGGGCTCAAAGGTGCTCGGATCAGCTCGGAGGAAAGGTGCTGAAGCCTGTCCCTCCTCTCAGGGAGGAAGGTGGGTTAGAGCAACAACCCTGCTGAAGCTCCAGTGGTCTGAAATGTGATCCTGCCGGAGGCACCTCCCTGGGCCCCACCTCGCTCTCTCCGACCTATATATGTGCCCAGCCTTGGGCGGGTGCGGGGACGCGGGCGCGCACAGTCCCCCCGGGTGGAGAGGCCGAGCACCAAGGCATGGCCAAGAACACGAACATGCGCTGGCGGCTCCCTCTCGTGTGCCTCCTCTGGGAGGTGGCCATGATCGTCCTCTTCGGAGTCTTCGTGCGCTTCGGCGCCGAAGCTGATGCGCACTGGGAGGAGGAGAAACGAGAGATGAACCTGACCAGTGACATAGAGAACGATTTCTACTTCCGATACCCCTGTGAGTATTCTGGAAGCCTAATCCCTGTGCTGCCTGGTCCCCATCCCATCCATCCCATCCATCCCAACCCATCCCATCCCAACCCATGCCATCCCATCCCAACCCATGCCATCCCATCCCAACCCATGCTATCCCATCCATCCTATCCTGTGCTGTGGCAGAGCCTGTCAGAGGCACTGTCTCCACTGATTGCTAGAAAGTTGTGCTCTTGCCTAGAGGCTGGCTTGGGGTTCACCAAAGAGCAAGAGAAAAGCCTCATGGCCCTCCGGTGCCTTGGGGCTCTGTCAGCAGGGTACCGTGACGTCTTTTTTCCAGGAATAGGGCTGACGTGTTCCCAACACTCTGCAAGATTCAGCTTGCTGCCCCCTCCCTCAGCTCTGGATCAGAGCAAGCCTTTCTCTGCACACAGAGGAACGGCTGTCGAGATCCTGTGACATCTTCCTCCTCTTCCTCCGTCCACCCCCTCACTTGTGAATTACCCTTTAGCTACTGGCATTTCAGTGCCAGAGTCCTCCTAAGCCGCCAGGTTCCCAGGGTTCTTGGGTCTCTGCATCGTAGTGACACAGAAATTATTCAGAAGGTTAAAGCTCTTCTGGCCAGGCAGTGCCTTTGGGTGGCTTTGATCTCCAGGGCTGGTCATCTTTGTGAGCCTTTCAGAACAGGCTGCTTCTGTAGGCAATTGTTTCCAAGGAAGCAACAGGCCTGAGTCATGCATCTATTTAGAACATTTCCATTAAAAACACCTGCTAAATCAAAGGAGCTATAGCAACCTGTGGCTGCTGAGGATTAGCTAGTTCAGAAAAGGATTTGCTTACACAAACCCACTGCTCAGTCAGCCTCCAGGTTCATGTATGGTCATGGCTGCCCTGGGCTCTCCCTCGACATCTGCCTTTGGGACCAGCCCCACACAGGTTGGTGTGAAGCAGTAGCAGTGCCTGAGGGCTGCTCTTGTCACTGGTGTGCTGGGAGGACATCAGGAGTCCAAGAAAGAGTGTGTGGGAGCTAAGGAAGTGACATCTCTTCTGTCCTCATATCCCACTCCAGCTCTGCAGTGCCAAATATTCCCCCTCAAATAGCAGGATGGATTCAACACAACTAAATCAATCTAAGGCCAACTGCTCAGTTTAGCTTTGAATTATGTTTCTTTTTCAGACCTGAGGAAGGGCTCACGTGCCCAAAAGCACAGCTGTTCTTTCTCCCTTATCTAATCAGAAATATTCTCTCCCTGCAAAGATGGACAAACATAAGGTGGCCAAGCCCTGACATTTTAATCCTTGTGTCTGTCCAGTGCTCAGAACCTGAAGATCATTTGTATCAACATACCTGCGACCACTGCTGTCCACAGCAGCTGTCTGCAATGGCAGAGGGATGGGAGTGACAAGCAAACAGGTTCTTCAAGCCAGAGAAGATTGGGAAGACAGGCAGAGGGAAGTTGTCCTGGTTTCAGGAAGCCAATATTTGGTTGTGTCAGTGGTGCCCATTTCCAGGTCCAGTCAGTGAGCACATTCCTTTTCATTTTGGATTGCACATGAGTATTGTGTAATCAGTGACTCATCTGCTCTCTAGAGGAAAAGAAATGAGATTTTTTTTGTCTCAGAGAGCATTCCCAAAGCCCAAACACTTCCTCTTGATAGTTATGGCAATTGTCCTGCCACAAAAGCAGGCTTATGAAACCTTTAGGGCATGGCAATGCCTGTGCTGCCTCTGAGTAATAACAATGTTATTCTTACTAAGGGAAAATAAAGGCGAGGGTTAGAAAAAGGTTTTAGATTTGGGTGTGGTTTAAAGAAAGATCTGCTCTTCCTCCTGAGTTCATACAGGGTCTAACACACGGTGGGATCCTCTGGCTTTCTGGAAAGCATAGAGTCCACAGCTTTAACTCTGACCTGTGTAGTTCTGCTTTTAGGATGAAAGAATGAATATACAATGCAAATGGCAGCAGATAAAGCCAGCTGTATGTGTGCTGCTTACACTGGAAAAAAGAGAGGGGAAATAAATACAGTTGCAGAGGAAAAGTCTACAGGATTGTGTGGTAAAACCACAGTAAGACTGGTTCTTAGGACATGTGGAGAAGGGCTTTTGAAATGACCTCTGCTGAACAGTGCCAGCTGCAGATCTCGTCTCCTTCCTTTTTAAAGAGTGATTTCATAGGCATGGGGGGCATTTTTCAAAAGCAATCAGATTAGCATGGCACTACATGGCTTGAACCTGGAAATGTTCATTCTTAAACAAGTTGCAACATCTTCAAAAGCACAAAAGGATAAAACTCTCAGCTTCTACAGAGCTGCACTTCACACAAGTCATAACTAGCCCTCAGTGGAAGCAGCAGACAGAAGCCCTGCTGAAATGGACCAGGGGCTGATGGATTTCAGCACAAGTTCGGGGTAGAGCAGACTTACAGCCACAGAATTTCCTTTGCTCTGAGCTTACACACTCTCTGAGTGCAGAGACTTTGCTGGATATAGTGGCTATAATGATTTGTGCAAAGCAAAATGCAGAACATTCTGGTTTAGCTCCATCACTGCTGTATTTATCTGCAGCATGGGTTTGCTGGTGGGAGTCTCCCTGGGGGGATCCCAGCCTTGGGTCTCCTGGTTTTTTCTGCTGGCTGAGTGGCCTGCAGTGTGAGGGTTTGCATGGTTCAATTTATAAGTATGCAAGTGTTTCAGCTCACTTAATTGCAAAGCAATGCTTATCTGATAGAAACGTGCAGCATTAAAAAGTACAGCAGGTTTACTGCACCAAGAAGGTCTTTCAAGAGGCTCACACAGATCTGGTTTCCCCTGGGGAAGGGCATCTGAGGGGCTTGGGTGAGCAGGTCTGACCATTAGTGGGAAGAACTGGGTCTCTCTGGTTTAAGCACTAAAAATCTCACAAGGTGGGTTTCTGGTCTCAAGGGTATTTTGCTGCTGATTTCCAAAGCATTTAAAAATGTATTTGTAAACTTTCCTTGTTCTTGTGCTCTCCCTGCTCTCACCAGGACCTTGTACTGAATGGACCTACCCAAAATGACCATTTACATGTTTTAACACAACTTGACTGTTCATTTCACACGACGTTTTTTGAGTTTTTTACAAAAGGGGAAAAAACAATCTGAATAGAAAAATGTTTTCCTCTATACCCTCCATTACTCTCAGGTCTTGTTTTGCACAAAGCTTTTAGTAAACATTTACTTTAAAGGCTGAGCCTTTTAACCAAAAGCCAGTTTCCAAAAGCTGAGCCATTTTCAGACTTAGAAACATGGGGACATGAGGCAAACACACATTTTCTCTTGAATTTCCCCCCTACTGCTACTTATGTAATTAGTCCCTTTTCAACAGCAAACGCACGTGGCATTTGCAGCCCTGCTGTCCTCGCAGAGCTGACAGTCCCTTCCCTCTGCACAGCTTTCCAGGACGTCCACGTGATGATCTTTGTGGGCTTTGGCTTCCTCATGACATTCCTCAAGCGCTATGGATTCGGAGCTGTGGGTTTCAATTTCCTCCTTGCTGCCTTTGGGATCCAGTGGGCTCTCCTGATGCAAGGCTGGTTCCACTCTTTCAAGGATGGGAAGATCCTCATTGGAGTGGAGAAGTAAGGAAGAGCTGGGCTCTAGGATGGCACCTCTGGCCTGGCCAATGGAAGAGTTGGAATGAGAGCCAAGCAGTTGGCAACACCTGTCCCTCACCAATGTCAAATACAAATCAGTCTCTAAACTGTTGTTCTCCCTCTACATACTTCCACTTGCTTTCCACCTTTTAGTCCAAAGGTACCTGCCATTGGGGTGGTACTGCTCAGAGGGAAATGAGGTGAGTGTCACCTCTGAGTGCCAAGCCAGGCACCACGGATGTCAGTGCTGAGGACACATATCACCCACATTACCTGAATCATGTGGGGGTGTAAGGATGGGAGGAAGGTCAGTGGGAAATCCAGAGATGTCTCTTAATCACCTCTTTGTCTTCAGGTGGGATCTCTTGATCTGGGGGTAGGTGAGAGTGATTTACAGAGAAGTATTTCCTTATTAAACCTCAATTTTCCTTTCCCTTTTCCAGCCTGATCAATGCTGATTTCTGCGTGGGCTCTGTGTGCATTGCCTTTGGGGCCATCCTTGGCAAAACCAGCCCCATACAGCTCCTTGTCATGACTTTGTTTCAAGTCACACTCTTTTCAGTGAATGAGTACATCCTCCTCAACCTTCTTCATGTAAGGCTTTAGGTAGTACCCGCTTTCTTCTGCTTCTTCCTCTCTGCACCTCTCCAAACTATCTCCCTTTGCTATGGCTCCACCAAGCCACTGCCTTCATAAGCATTTAAAATGCAAGAATTCACACAGCAAAAGTAGGCAGATGGGGCAGTGGGCCGTACTTCCCTGGGAGGGAAGAAGGGAGATCTTCTGGGGTTTACACATGAGCCTGGCAATTCAGGAGCACTGGGTCCCTCTGTCAAGCTGGGCACGATGCAAATCAGGCCTCAGCTCTAGAATGAGTGGCAATTGCAGAAGCAAACCTCTGTTTTCCCATGGCTGCAGGTAAAGGATGCAGGTGGCTCCATGACCATTCACACCTTCGGAGCCTACTTTGGTCTCACGGTGACTCGGGTCCTGTACAGACCCAACCTGGAGCAGAGTAAGGACAAGCAGGGCTCCGTGTACCACTCCGACCTCTTTGCCATGATCGGTGAGCCAGCCCTCATCTCGGGGTGCTGCTACATGGGGACCACTCCACATGGAGGGCTGGGGTCTCCTGTGTCTCTGGGAAAAACTGAAGCCAGGATATGGAGTTGAGGAGCTCTGTATCCCAGAGGTCTTTCACCTTTCAGAGTTACTCAGCTCCCTTCATCAGTGGCTGGGCTGAGATGGTGCTTGGGAAGATAAGGATGCATTTTGGTTCACTTTCTCTGCCGGCCTTTCCTGATGTTGGTCTCATCATGCAGGGTGTGGATCAGGGGAAGCAGGACTATGGGATGTAATTTCCCCCTGTGCAGAAATATCGTTTTTAAAGTTGGTTTTTTTTCAGTCCCTGTATTTTCTCTTTTCCCTTTCTCTTCCTCATCCCATCTGCCTTATCCCACCAGGTACCCTGTACCTGTGGATGTACTGGCCCAGTTTTAACTCAGCCATTTCTGATCACGGGGATGCCCAGCACCGGTCTGCCATTAACACGTACTGCTCGCTGGCTGCCTGTGTCCTCACCACCATGGCCTTCTCCAGCATGCTGCAAAAGAAGGGCAAGCTTGACATGGTAAGATGGGAGCAGAGAGCCCAGGGGACATATAGTGAGGCTGATCAAGGGTCCAGGAAACAACTGACACTTGTACTTTGCTGAACAGACACATGGTTTCAGGGCATGATGATGAAACCAGCATCCAGGCAGAAACTCTGAGGCTATACTGAATAAGAAAGTGGGAATGGCTCTTGCAGGACTTGAGGGGTGGGAAGATGCCCTAGCTGTGGTGGACCCAAGTCACAGCAGGGGCTGGACTTGCTCTGCTAGGTGTGATGCAGAGCTCATTTTGGCAGTGCTCCCCATCAAATGAGGCCTGCGCAGCAGCTCGTGAGCAATCGGGGGGCTGACTTGTACGTGTTAGATGTGTGGGTGACATGTCTCTGTGACAGCAGAGCTTGCATGACACACGGGTGAGACAATTTCCATCTCATCACAACTCCCCACCCATATCTGTGGATGCAAAGAACGTGTGTGGTACGGGGAGTGGGAGTCTATGTGCACCTGTGCTACAGCCAGAAGCTGCCTGTTCTTTTCTTGTTTTTCGCCACCAAGTAGGAAAATGAGCCCTGATATTTCCTCTGGAAACATTTCCAGAGCTGGTTCTCCCACTTTGCCATTTGCACCATCCCTGAGCAATTGCAATCTCCCTGAGATGCCAAGGCAGGGCGGTTGGTTCTGCAGGTCCACATCCAGAATGCCACGCTGGCTGGTGGCGTGGCCGTGGGCACCAGCGCCGAGATGATGCTGACTCCATACGGCTCCCTCATTGTCGGGTCCATCTCTGGCATCGTGTCCACCGTGGGGTATGTCTACTTCACGGTGAGTGCTGCTCAAGGGGTCTGCAGCCCTGCTGAGGAGACCAGAAATGGATTGACTTCCCTTTGATGGCTCCTGCTTTCCAGAATCCCTTACGAGATGCACTTCTGACTCCTTTTACTGCCCCAAAATGCTCAGGAAGTTTCAGACTCCCAATAGGAGCGTGTTTGGAGGATATGTTAGCTTATTTTGAGCTTGGCTCACATCTTTGTCTAGAAACATTTAGCTCTTTAATGGGACACAGTATCACTCCTCTTTCTCTGCTCAGTCCTGCACGGAAGGAACTAATCCTTTCCAGGGCCACACTCAACTCCCTGATCTCTCTCTACTTCCCTTCCCCTCAGCCTTTTTTGGAGTCTAGGTTGCACATTCAGGACACATGTGGCATCCACAACCTCCATGCCATGCCAGGCCTTATTGGGGGCATTGTGGGGGCCATCACAGCAGCTGCAGCCACAGAGGATGTGTATGGAAAGGAAGGGTAAGATGGCTTGAAAATCTTCCCTGAGAACAGATTTTACCTGAAGCTCTGTGGGCTGGGAGCAGGGAGCAATTAACAGCTTTTGTTAATAATTCAGAGTTGCCCAGGGATGTCCCTCATAAACATGGGGTGCACTGACTGTGTTTGGCTTACTGAATTGTAGCCCCAGTTTATGCAGCTGACTCTGGGTGGCCTCATGAAGTGTTATTCTGGGCCACAGTGGGGAGGAAAGTGTTCTCCCTCTCCCCACATTGTTTTATGGGGTCAGGTAAGGCTAAAAGTCTGAAATACAAAGTGAATATTTATATTTTGGGCTCCTCCTTAGTAAAGCTTTGCCAGGGCTCAGAGAAGGAGGTGAGCTGCGTTTTGGTCACTGCACAACGCTCTCCTGGTCCAAGGCAGAAGAGGGATGGGGCTAGGGAAGCGTTCCCAAGAGAGCAGGGCAACATGGTACCTCTGGAGCCAGGGAATGTCTCCTGCCAGGGGCAATCATCACCATTTCTGCCCTCGGCAGGTTCATCAAGGCGTTTGACTTCACCGGCGTGTACCAGGCGCGGACGCCCAGTATCCAGGGAGGGTTCCAGGCGGCCGGCATTGTGGTGTCTCTGCTGATGGCATTTGTTGGGGGTGCCATCGTGGGTAAGCCGGAGGGGAGCACAGAGAGGGGAGGGTTGAGCCAGCCTGCAGCTGAAGCAGAGGCATCCGTGCTCTCCTGTCCACGGCCGGATGCATCCTGGGGGGGACGGCACCGAGCGCTGTGCCAGGGCTGCATTTGCCCCTTGGGTGGACCGGCCGCATCCCGCACGGCCCCTGCCCACCGCTCTGCCCGGCTCCTTGCAGGGGGCATCCTCAAGCTGCCCATCTGGGGGGACGCCGCGGCCGAGAACTGCTTCGAGGACGGCGTTTACTGGGAGGTGAGGGGGCGCGGGGCGGGGGGCACGAGATGGCGCTATCGGCCCGCGGCCCGGCCCGGGGGGCTCAGGGGGCTCTGCCGCAGGTGCCGGAGGACGAGGAGAGCGACGTGTACCACATGCACAACCCCGACAAGCCCGCCTCGCCCTGAGCCCGCCGCCGGCCCGCCTTCCCCGCCGCAGGACCTCGCCCCGCTCCCGGGGCCGCAGGATCGCCTTCCCGTGACGACGGGGGCTCTGCCCTACTCTGCCGCTTTTGTAACGAGCTGCTGTGGATGTAATAAAGTGGTGTTCTTCTTTCCAGGCCTGTGCCGTGTGTCAGTGGCCGAGCGGGATGGGATGCGGGCCAGAGCCGTCTCTTGGCAGCTGCCAGGAGAGCTCTCGGCTGCCCGGGGCAAAGCAGAGGCACCAGGACACTCCTGGGGCCTTGGGAACAAAGTGGAGGCATGAACGGTGGCAGTACGGGCTGGGTTTATTAGACAATGTATTAGATAATGCGATCCAGGGAGATATTTGGGTTGGGAGCTGGAACCTTGAGATGACATTCGAGAAGGTGATGAGCCCCCACAGCGGGGGCTGAGACCCTGCAGGATGCACAGGCCGGGCTGGTTCATTTTGAGGATGGGATGCTGGGGTGCAGCAGCTGACCCTCTCCTCATCCAGCCATCCACAGCGGGGGTGATGCCATCTGTGAGTCCAGCTACACTTGTACATGATGGCCTCTACCATCACCTTCCCTTGAACTGCCCTACCCAGGCCTCCACCAGCTCCTGGGAACCTTGTTTGCATGTACAGCACAGGCTGACAGAAGCATCTCCTCTTTTCTGGCTTCAGACATTTCTTCCAGTGTCATCAGATGGCTCCTTCCACTGTCCAGTGCTATTTTGATAGGAAGAGGACAGGCCCTGTCTCAGCTGGACCATTACGCTTCAGCCAGAGTTGTAGGAAACAGGGATGAAAACCATGCCCAAAATCCTGCATGTTTTCAAGGGTGATATAATGTGAGGAGTAGGAAAGGAAAAGAGGGGGGGAAAGGAGGTAGGAGGGCTGATAGGTCTCTTCACTGCATCTCACTGTAATTCTTACACCTGAGGGGGGGAGTCAAAAGTAGCTATTCACATCCCCTTGGGATATGACACCCTCATTTTCCATGCTGGGTAAAGACAAAAACCCTTTACAACATGTTTCTGGAATTTGTCAGCAGCTGCCAGCAGCAGCATGTTAATTAAATGTCGGCAAAGATGGAAGCAAGAGGCTCTGCTCTAATTGGACACTTTGCTTGGTGGAGCTGAAAAACATTGTGACAGAGGAGGAGGTGCCGAAACACTGTGTTCCCCTGCCATGGCGGGGATGGGGACAGCCAGGCACAGGAGACGCTGTCTCCTGTACATGCATTGCCTCCATTTGGCCTAAAACAACCTCACCACTGAAAAAAAGAAGAGTAATAAAAGGCCTAAAATCCTCCATAGGATTGGTCTCAAGCACGGCAGCGGTGTGGGATGCAGAGAAAGGGCTGGTTGGCTAATGAGAAATTCAGAAATATCGTAGCTGGGCCATCAGGAGCTCCAGCCTGCTTGCCAGCAAGTGGTGTATTGTATATTTCTTTTATGATGGCAAAGGCAGGTCTGACAGGGGTTAGAAATGGTCTCGGGAGATTGATCCCTGCAGAGGCTGAAGCATACATTGAGCTGCATCCTTTCTCCAAGACAAGGATGGGAAAATGTAGGGCAAGTGTTTTCCCTGTGCTGGGATCTGCTGAATGAGGGAGATCTCCTTCCAGCTTCTCTGCACTGGCAAAGGGATGTAACAGCCATTTTCTGCTCACAGCTTCATCCAGAGAGTGCATCAGAAACCACCACAGGGACGTTTACTGACAGGCACCATAGACAATATCACTTCAAAAGGGGAATCCTAAACTTTCCCCTCTAAGTGTGCAAAATCTGAAAGCAGAAGCAGACCTTTCGGGCACTGCGTTTCCTACTGTGTGACTGGACCTTCATCCCACACCATTTGAGTTCTGCCTGTCCCAGATAATCTGTGTGTCCAGCCTTCGTGGCCTCTGGTCTTTCCTCCCAGCAGCTTGCAAGGGTTCATGGGGTTCAGTAATGGCAAAGACAGGGTGACCCTTGTTGCTCAGCAAGGCGGCCAACCCACATCTCTGGTAGAGCAGGCGTGTGAGCCCTGGGAGAGGGTCCTGTCCCATGTGCACGTGCTGGAAGGAGAAGCCCTGACCCAGTTCCCTGGCCCTCTGAGCTGTGCCTCCTCCTCGTGGGAAGACACCTAAATTGCCCAGGCTGCTGGGCAGCGAAGCGTTTTATTGCCGGTGCTCTTGCGGGGCTCGGTCTGGTCTCAGTACCTAAATCACTCGCTGGGGCTGGCCAGCAGTTTTAATTCCCTGGCAAACAATGCCGGGATCGGGCTGGCGCGTTTGAAGTGCAGTCGCGGCCCCAGCAGTGGACGGAGGGTTTCTCAACGGGGGAGCGTGGAGAGCCGAGGATTGGGCTGCTCCGGCAGGCGGAAGAACGTGTGAGAAAGGGGCTGTAGATACTCGCGGGGATTAGGTGGTACAAATTGGCTGGGAAGCACGGGAGGCATTGACCAAAGTTGTCCTGGGGCAGGTTCCCATGGGGGGGGTGGCTGAAACAACCTGCCTTCAAGGAGGCTGGAAGGCCCAGCCTGGCTGCTAATCCCCTGGGATCTCTGTGGCACGGTGCAGAAAAGAGGTTAAAAAAAAAAAGGAAAATCGCATGTAAAGGTGGTGGTTTCCCCAAGGGGATGATGTTAGAGAGGGAAGGGCGGAGGTGGGGGGGAACAGCATAGTTTAATCCCTCTTTTAATAGGCAGGTGGTAGGCTTTGCTCGCACTCCTGCAAGCTGCTGCAGAGATTTTGGCAGAAGGCCTTTGCTCACCTCTGCTGTCCCCCACTCTTGGTGAAGAGGGGCCCCATCTGTGGATCTGCCCGGGACAAGGGGGGGTTGCCTGCTTCCTACATCTGTGCCCGTGTGTGTGTTGGTGTGCGCAGGTGCACGTACACGGTGCCAGCCCCAGATTTGGGCTGAAATGGGTTCATTGCACACCCCAGCCACCGGCCATTGCGTATCTGCTGCTGGCGGCATGCCCATGTGTACAAAGCCCCTCAGCCTCCCGGACCTTGCACAACTGGCACACTGAAGGCCACGCTGCAGGTGCTGCTGGTGATGTTCACATGCTGCTGGCCGTGGTGCCGCTGTGCATTCTCCCACCTTCGCCACGCACGTCCACCTACCTTTGGGCGGGAGTGAGCGTGTGCGTGTCCGACCCGCGTGTCCGACCCGCGTGTCCGACCCGCGTGTCCGACCCGCGTGTCCACGCCTGCGTGAGCACTGCTCCAGCCCCTTCTGAAGGAGCGCTGTAAATTGTAATCAGATTAGGGCAGCCGGTCGCTTAGGGCCCTTGAAAAGGGCATACGTCCCCTCATCAGTACCTAGCATTGAGTCGCACAAAGGGTCTAAGTAACTCGGCAGGGGTCGGGCCCTCTGGAGCGCAGGGGAGGGGGCTTGCCTTTCTTTTCTCTCTGTCCCTTGTAATTATGTCAATTTGCTAGCCAAATTGTTTGCTTGAGTGGACAGTGGGGGCTTGCCCCCCTTCACACCTCCCCCCCACCCCTAACCCCATTCATGTGCTAATGTGGGAAGGAGCATGGCCTCCTGACTTCGGGAGGTGGCCGTCAAGGAGCAAAGCACAGGGGGGCATGGGCCAGGAGCCCCCCATTTATGTGCCCATGGAGGGCTTGGCCTTGCAGCCCTGATGAACAGGACTCTCCTGTTTACTTTACCCCGTGGCAGGGTGTGCAATGGCCAACCAGCCCCAGCCAGCGCTGGTTTTCTCTGGCCACCACTCACCTGTACCACATCCCCGCTCGGGCCACGGCATCCCCAGGGCCAGGAGCCATGCCCTCTGCACAGCGGTTTTCCCGGCACACCTCCCCAGCCGCGCACCTCCCAGCATTTGCATATATTCTGCCCGCAAATCCTTGTCAAGGGGACTCTCTTTATTGCCTGTATAGATCACAGGGTGTTAGTTAAGGGGCTTCTTTGTATTGCCTCAGACAGCTGGGGTCATCAAAAGTCCTGTGGTGGGAAGGAGAGACAGGAGGAGGGGGGAAGCTCTGACAATACAGACTGAAGGATTAAAGGAGCATATAAAGTTCCTATTGAGTGAGACAAGAGGCTGTTCACTCCCAAGATTGACAGCAACCAGGAGGCGATTCCCAACACAATGTCCAATTAATTCTCTACCCTCTTCGCTGCCGTCTCCTCCTCCCTCCTCTCCTGGGCTGGGGCATGAGCAGGGAAGGGCTGAAGATAAGATCCTTGAGAAGGTAATTAATTATTCCTGACTAAGAGGAGCTTGCCAAGGTGCAGGCCAGTCCCCAGGCTCGCTGGGCATCCATCCCCCTCCCACAGGCTACCATCAGTTTAGGCCACTGCAGGGTACTTTTCCTCTGTCCCACCAGTCTGTCCCACCAAAGGTCCATCTTCATGGCATGTGCTGGACAATAACCTGGGCTACTGCTGAGCCTGGAAGAGGCACATTTAGGGCTAAAGCCAAACTGACAGTGGAATGCAGCAGGACAAGGCAGCAGCAGGAAAGCCAGGGAGCAGGGCAAGGTGCATGACCAAGCTCTATGGGCGTGCAGAACATTTGGGGAGAGACAGAGAAGCGTGTGCCGGGCCTGGAGATCAGATTTTACCTCTGTGTGCAGTGGTTCAAGCAGCTCCACCTACTCTGGTTTTGCAGGGAGAAGTGGGTTTCTGGCAGTGAGGGTGCATTGCCACTGTTCCCTGGGCTGGCTGCCCACACTGACCCCAGTGCTGGTAATAGGACATGAAGGAGATGTTGTAGGATACTGCATCTCTTTGATGTACCCTCATGTACACGAGCCGAATCTGGACCACCATGTGACATTTCTGCAAGCCACTGAGTCCACAAATTGTCTGACTTGTCTGGTCTGGTTTTTCCTTTACAAACCTCTCAGCCCAGAGGGAGGAAAGCACCTTTCTCTGAGCTGGCTGTCTTTTTCTTGGTACTCTCTGTGGCAATGAGGCTCCCAGACGTGAGTGGCCAAAGTTCTTCAACAGTGACAAACATCTTCAAACCACCTCATTTGGGAGAAAAAGCCATGCAACCA